TCTCTTTTTATATTCTTTTTTTTTCCTTTCTCCATGATGATTTGCATTTTACTTAATTATCATCTTCTTCTTCTTCCAAAAAGGATTCCTTCTATGTAGCTGGGCAGTACGATCATGAAGCTATAAAAACGACGACAACAAAAATATAGATATTTTTATAAATATATGAATCCCTGCAGGCAACGTGGCTTTTCAGCTCCACCAAAAAGGTTCATGTACAGATTGCATAAGCGAAGAATTTCTACATTCTTTACACCTTTTTTTTTTCCTTTTCGTTTGTGTTTTTTCTTTCTTAGAAAAAAAAAAAAAAAAGGAAGATTTTCTTTCCCCTTCTTCGTATTGCAGGCACAGAACGGCTACTCTGGCACTCGAAACGCGGAGGCTGGGAGGTCAGCGCCCCCCAGGTTCGACATTCTCCTTAGTAAAAAAAACCAACCCAAAACCGAAAAACAACCCCCCCCAAAAAACCCTCAGATATGATAGATCATCTTGGCAAGAGATTAGTTCCTTCAGGCCAAACAGTGCTTCTTGACTCTTTATACAGCAAATGGGAAAAAAAAAAAGAACCAAAAAAAAAGTTAATTATATTTCTTTTTCTACCCTGAACAGCTCGACAACAACACACATCTCCGGGCACCACCACGCAGTTCCACTGGAAGATCCTTCATCCTTGGCACCCCACATTTCTGCCTCTCCGGGCACGCTGCCCGCCTGTCCGTCCATCCATCTGTCCACCCAGGACGGGGTCCTCACGTCCGGATGACGCCGTTGCAGGGAGGATGCTTGGGCAGACAGGGCTCGTCGGGCAGCAGGTCATGTGCAAAGACTGAGTCGTCCCCCGAGGAGCACGTGCTGTGGGTGTCCTGGCCGGCCGGTGAGTACTGCTCGAAGGGCACCGAGAGGTCCAGGTACTCCTGCAAGGGCGACAGACCCATCAGTGCTGGGTGCCCGCACTGGGGACCAAGCAACCCCTCCCCATGTACACCCCATCACACTCACATCAGTGGACGTCACAGTGAGGACCCTGTCCAGGTCTTCCACCAACTGCTTGAAGGTTGGCCGCTGCGAGGGGACGGCATGCCAGCACTCCCGCATGATCATATACCTGCATGAGAAGGGAGAGGGGACCATCATCCATGGTGGGGCTAAGTGGCACCCACCCACCCCCAAATTGCTTGAGAAAACAGCTATGGCCAATGCAACTTCAGCCAGGTTGGCCTTGGTGTGTAGCCAGCTGGGGTGAGGAGGAGGAGGGTTTTGTGGAACTATGCTCCTCCTTACTGATCATCTCATGTGTGTCCATGCTCTCAAAGCAGAAGGACCTGTCCTAAAGGTGACATTCCAGAGCTACATCCCCAATCACCTCCTACCAAACCAGGGCAGGCACATTACATAGCTCTGCAGTCATGGGCTGAGCTGAAATGAGTAGGGATAGGTAAGCCTATCTGGAGATGGCTGCATAATCTCACAGCAGGGATGCCCCAAAAGACCCAACCACAGCCTGGGGTGGTATTTGGCCACAGAGGGAAGGGGGAGCGAGGCAAGGAGGTCAGCTCCATCACACACTCACAAATCATGGGTGCAGTTTGCGGGTTTGTCCATCCGATGGCCTTCCTTCAAGAGTTTGAAGAGTTCTTCAACGGGAATTCCCGGGTATGGAGACCCTCCCAAAGTGAAGATCTCCCATAGTAGCACTCCAAAAGACCAGCTGGAGACCAAAGAAAGATCTTTAAAATTCAATGAGTTTTTTTCCAGGCCCCCCCATATCCCCTCCCTTCTCGCTTGGCTTTATTTCTGTGCAGCCATGCATAGCTAACAGAGTCATCAATAGCATGACTAATTGCCTAGGCCATTTTTACTAGTTACTTGGAGATCTCTGCTGATCCAACTCAATAGCAAAGAAATCCCAGGCACCAAGTCTGAAATTGAAATGAGCATTTAATCAGATAGGTGACAGCCCATCTATCACCCCCAGCTCTTTGTTAGGTCTTCCACCAGCTCCACTGAATGGAACAAATCAAATTATTCATGCACGGCTTCACTGAATTGCAGGCTTGGAACCACAGGCCACTAATTGTGCAAGCTGATACCAAAACTTGCTTGTTACAACACTCATTTCACTGGCCAAGCCGGGAGAAAAATACCCCAACAAGCATCAGTGGAGCACTAACGTTACACACTCCAGTCCTGCAGCTGTGCTCTGGGTAAAAGTCCTCTTTTTCAAATATATCTTTTGCCTTCTTCATTTTCTTTTAAAAAACAGGGATTATCTGTTCCTGTTTCGCTTTCCTGCACGCTCGCTCTCCCATTCTCTAGCTTTGATTTATGTGTCATGCCCGCTGCAGCATTACCTAAGCATGGAAACTATGATTTAAGATCAATGAAAGCCAAAGTATGTGAAAAATACAGAAATAGATTCATTTGTCCAATTGCAAGCAGTGAGCTTTGGGGAGCAGGCACTGAATCACTGTAGAAACGCCATTATCAGCACATGTTGGAGTAAAAAAGCCGGCGCGCATGCCGAGCTAGTTTAGCCCTTGCGAAGTTCAGACGTGACACAGATTTACACATGAGGCAGGCTCTGCTGTTTGCTTACCGTGCAGAGGCACTAAAACGGACAAGATAGGATTAGGAAAAATAAAGGAAATAAATGAAGCAGCAAAATTAATCCAAGAATGTATTTGTTGAATATTCTCTGATCGACTCTACTAACAGCAGACAGAATATTTCAAGTTCATCCCATGTACTCAGCTGAAATGCAATTGTCTGGGGCAAAGCGTGGAGGAAGCCAAGGGCAATTTTTTTCTGCATGGAGATTTTTCTGCACAGTTTTTGACCGAGGAGAAATCACCTCATCTGTAAATGACTAAGAAATACCTGCCTGCCTTCCAATAATTTTTCAGCAGTTCACTAGAGATCCTTGGATGAAAGCAACTAGACAACTGTAAAATAAAACCACGCGTGCAAAGCTGCAGCTTGCAGTAGAGTCATTTGCTTTCGCATCCCTAGATGCCCCAGCAGTGAAGGAGCCCTGGTCATGCTTAGTAGTACTTGGTTTGTCCTCTAAGATACTATAGGTGTTGATTTCCCAGTTGTTTAATTATTTTCCTTTTAAAGTGAGGGTATGCTTACACATCGCTCTGGTGAGTATAGACCCGGTCAAACAAAGCTTCTGGAGCCATCCATTTCACAGGCAGCCGACCCTGTAATTAGGAAGACAATGGGAACATCCCATCAGCATATTCCCCCAGCCACAACGGCACCATCTGAATCTTCTTTTCTAATCCAGTTTGAAACATTTTCATTAACAGCCACATCTGCCTTCCCGGTCACTGGGCAGAGCAGGAGTGGCCACATATAAACAGATTACAGCATTTGATCCCTGGATCTTCGCTGACGATCTCTGCACTAAATGCTCTCTGTGGAGGACTGTATTTCACTGCCAAGGCAGGTTTAACTTATCAGTGCATCTAAATCTTTGCATGGGAACAGCATCCATTGCTCATAAATGCAGCGAGCTCTGCAGCAGAGCTTGGGACAACACTTCCCATCTCTTTGGCTGGAAGAAGCAGTTGACTCCAAGTCCAAACCTGGCTTAAACTGAACTTGAAGGGAAATTTCCAAGGATGAAGGCAAGGGCCAGATCCTCTAAGAAACAAATCCTGATCCTGCTGGGGGCTAAAGGAGAAGGCCTGACCCCAGGTTTCCAGGGGAACATCTTAGATAAGGGTCATAAACATGGGTTGTCACATGTGAGAAATACGAGATGAGAAAGACTAGATTAATCATAATTCTTTGGGGCTTTGCTTGGCCCCTGGAGGGAGACAGAAAAGACTGTTTTGTGTTTCAGGCATAATTTAGCTATAGGGGGACTCTGTCCTCTTCTGACCCAATGTCTCACTGGGGGAGACAACTAGAGCAGGGACATAGGCAGGATGCACAAATGGGATTATTCTCTCAGCTGTCCAACACAGCTCAAACAGGGAAAGTCCATCTGACCTATGATTTAAATTCCCAACAATTTTCATTAATTTATCATTAACAAATCTTCATAATTAAGAAAGATTTCTGATGAGATATTGATAAGGATCAGTATGGACATGGTAGAGCTTTGTAGGACTGCCTGGATATTTAGACCTGTTGCAGTCACAAGGTCCCTTAGGTTCTGCAATGCCTTCAACCATTCCACTGCCAATTGCTGTAGTTGTAGCTTTTGCTCAGACCTCAACGTCTGCTGCAGGGCTCTGAACCAAGACACAGGTCTTGTCACCAGCCTTTCAATCTTAAATTCATCTCTACAGAAACCATAAATGACTGGCTCTCAGCTCTTGACTGGGGCCATCTTCTCACCCTTGGCAGTGGAGTCAAGAGGCTCAGTTGAAAAAAAAGGGGAGAAAAATGCAAGATAGCTCCAGGTATACAAAAAGTGACATTCCTCTGCCAAAGGCTCTGGTGGGACAGAAGCTGGCCCCTTGGGACCTTTATTAACAATAGTAGAGCAGACTGGAAAGGGCTCCATTCCCTTTTGGTAGAAATCTCAAGTTTCTCTTAGCCTAAAGCCTCCTGACCAGAGCTGAGGCCTCACAACCAGCTGCTAGCAGCAGCAGTATCTATCAGGAAGGATACGGCTGGTGGGTGCATTTCTGGGATCAGCCTACCTACAGTTCCTCCCTAGGGGAGGGGAGGCCACCAGCAGACTTCTTCCTCATAAGCCCCTCCAGAAAGTGAGACGTGGGACAAGGGTCGCTTGCTGCAGGGATGACTGAGCTGCCTGCCAGGAGGAGAACTGCATGTCCTTGGCAGCTCTATACTTACATTGGTGGTTTTCTTGTAATAGTCGATATTGTGGACGTCTCTAGCGAGGCCAAAATCAGCTATTTTCATCACATTGTCTTCAGTGACTAACACGTTCCTGGCTGCCAAGTCGCGATGAATGCACTGTGAAAGGTGAGCAAGTCAATAAATAAGGGCTTGTTAGCTGCTCGCGCCTGGAACCAACAGCACCGCGTGGTTTATGAGCTGCCGTTTCATTGACTCCTAAGCTCATAAAGCTGTGGGCACTGCTTCACTCCTCGCTTTCTGTGTCACTGCCCCATCATGCATGCTCAGTGGGAGCCACCTCTTAGCAACACCTAATCGGCAGCCTCAGCACTGACACAGCCACACGTCTTTTCTCTCCAAAGGGAATGATGCACAGACGGGAAAGCCAACCCTCCTCTTGTGTGGGCGCTTACTGGGATGTGAAGCTGTCTTTCTGCCCTGCTTCCTCCAGGAAGAGGAGTGCAGGCTGATGTTTGAAGGGAATAATGTCCTAAAATTAAGATATCTCAAATACATCCACAATACATAGAATGGTGTGGGTTGGAAGGGACTTTTAAAGGTCATCTAGTCCAATCCTCAGCATCATAGTTGTTAGCTGAGAAAGAAGCTGGATTAGACTGCACTGTACAGAAAGAGTTTAAAGCCACCAAGAACCAGCCACTCTGAACTGCAGCCGCAGGACAAACACATCTGACATCTGAATCTGAACTTGCTCTTGCCATAGTGCTCCGTGCCCACAAAGAAAGAGGTCACACCGGCTGGTGCACAGCTTTGTGAACCCAAAGCCTGATCCTCCACTCGCTGATGTCAGGGTAAATCAGGACTAATCCCAGGCAGGGTATGATGTAAGCAAACACAGCAGCCAGGTCAGTGCCAGCAAAGTGCTCCCCAGGGAGCATCGTAGGCATATCCACGCATTGAACCAAATCCACCGCCAGTTCCACTCCTATGAAGCCTACATGTGCTGGAGACAGCCACAAACACATGAGCAACACCCAAGATCTCAGCTTCCTCGTGAGTCAAGTGATCTCAGAAGGAAGATCAGGGAAGTATCAGGAGGAAGAACAGGGGTACATGCAGATCCTGACTGTTGTCTAATGTGACACTGCCATGGTGGAAGGTTGCAACTTGGCATGATGCTCACCCTGACCACTGCTGCCTGAGCCTCAGGATCAGACATCTGAAAGATGGCTACTTCTAGAAGTGACAGAGGTTGAATAGATGAGGACAGGTAGCAAGGTCTGGGTTTCTTGTGCTTTCATATGCACTTTAGGGATACTAAACAGGCCTGCAGGTCACAATGAGGGCTGTACAGCTGCATGGTTCATGAATACAGCCAGCATATGGGAACTTCTGCATATGGATGGAGCCTCCAGCTAAACACTCAAGACACTTCATACAGAAAAATGTGGTCTCTAAAGGGAGAAGCCTGCCAACACTTTGCCTGAGGTTGTCCTGCACACACACACAGAGCATTGCATGTCTTTGAACACACGGGTCTGACTGATGCTTCCACCAAATGAAGTTTCTCAACTCACTTTCTGAGATGCCAAGTACTCCATGCCCCGGGCCACCTGGTAGGCGCAGGAAACCAGGTCTTTAAATGTCAGCTGCTCCTCGGGCAGCTTGCAGGTGTCGAAGGAATAGTCCATGCCAGGTGGGCGACGTGCCCTGAGGTATTCCCGCAAGTTCCCCTTTGATGCATATTCCACCAACACGTAGAGCGGTCCTGCAAGCAAGAGCACATCAGGATCCAGCGGAAGAACAGCTCAGCACCAAATGCTCAACTGGGACGTTTTGGGCCACCAGTGAGTAGTTACACAGAAGGGACAGTCAAACCTGAGCCTCCCACAGCCCTGCGAGTTGCTTTGCTACGTACCGTCCTGCGTGCAGGCACCAAGGAGGTTAATGATGTTTTTATGCTTCCCAATCATTTTCATCATTTCCATCTCAGAGACCAGGTCAGAAAGGTCCTTGTCCGTGGCATCATCTGGAGAAAGCAAGAGAGGAAAGCAAAAATGTCAGGAAGAAAGTATGTGTTTTGTGAAGTAGTTAATACAACTGCAGCATAGACACATGGGGCTTTGGTGGGGAAACAGTACCCAAAATATGGCAGTGTTTGTTTTTATTCGACTTTGGGAAGGAGAATCAAAATAAAACCAAAATTAACTACCACAAGGAAAGATAAAATCCCAAATAAACTGAGATAGATGTTCATATGGAAATTAACAAAGCCTCTCATCTTCTGTTTCATCCTGTGAAGTATTAAAGAAATAGTCACTTTTGGTACCTGGGATAATTTTCCTTTTCTGACTTGTTTCCCTCCCTCATCTCCAGGGGCAAAGAGTTAAGGACTGTGGGAGGTCAGAGCTTGGGGAGGGGCTACAGAAGGAATGCATTTTTTGCATAGAAAGCTGCAAGTATTCTACAGAAGTAGAAAAATGGAGAGAGGAACCTCCCTTGGTTTAGAAAGATGGGAAAGTTCCTGCTTCCAGGAGAACTTCAGAACGGACTGAATGTAAATTAAACAAATCCTTCTCTGATAAGAAATGCTATTTTTGTAACGATGTCACCCCACGTTCTCTCAACCCTGGGCTGCTCACTGCTGGAGCATCTGCCCTGCTTGCTCCAGCTGAACTCCTCAGGGTGATTTTGTCTGCATGTTGTCTGTGTGCAGGGTAAGGATGGGAAACAGATTCATCTGGAGGTGCCCAGTGACTCCTCTGTTTCTGGCCTCCCTTTAACCTCTTGGGAGTTTGGGATCAAGTGTCCTCAGTGAAGAAACTCCTCAAGGAGTCTGTCACCAAATTTCTGCGAACTCCACCTGAGCTTGTTGCATAAGGCTTTGTGAGAACTGGCAGCACTGGTTACAGGAGGAGTAAGGAGTGGGCTGATTCACAGAGCTGGCTAGACACGAAGGGGGTTCCCCTTCTTCTCAGGGATGCTATTACCCCCTGGCAAAGAACTGGATTAATTCCCAGTCCCTCTTCCTGATGGGATTTGCACTTGTAGGTGCTCTCCAAGGAGACAGCCATCACCCTCAGGCTACGTGGGTGAAGGGGATGAAAAGCTGTTCTTGCTTTATTCTATTGTATCTGTTTGTATACAAGACTTAAAAGAGAAGCAAAGAGAGGAAATCCCAGTGCAATATGCTGTTCCACCCTCTGTGGAATTCCCGTACCTTTTAACATCTTGACAGCAACTGTGATGGCCTTGTTTGGCTTGTCCTTATCGATCCCAATTGCTTCTGCCATCACCACTTGGCCAAAACACCCCTCACCGAGTGGCTTCCCCAAGGTCAGGCTGAAGGGAGGAACAAGCAGGCACGTTAGTGGGTACCGGGATGGTGACACTACCAGCAGGCACTGGGACTGCGACCTGTGGATCTGACTGACCGAGAGCGTGCCAATTCCCACTTGGGATCTGGAGGTAGTTCCAGCTCGGAGACATTGGCCAGCATCGGCCCATCACTGGAGGAGAGACGTGTGATCCGGACCAGGGGCGTGTTGGAATTCATGGAAGAGTTGGACTCCAACGACACCTGCTTGGGTAGACCAAATGAAGTGTTATTGCCAACTGTATTCCCAGGCCAGGCACTGCCTGAGATGGATCACTGAGGGAGTTTGAGCTATCTTTGCTCAATGACACCTTTCTGGTAATTTCTAAATGGGAAACCCTCTTTCTGCCTCTCCTCACTTCCTTGCAGAACTCCACTGATCTCGGTATCTGTGGTCAGGTTGTTAGCTGGTGGAAAAGAGGGACAGGTCAGCCATGCCCTCCAGCAGGAAGATTTAATCTGTCCATTTGTTCCATGTGCATCTCCACAGCATGTACAGCCTATGGAATGACTTCTGTTCTGGCACTTCAAATAGCTACCACGAGCTTGCAGCCAAAGGCATGAAATCTCTATCCTTCACTATGTGGTTTTACATGGTGCCTTTAGCTCCCGCCCTTGTGCAATTACACGTGTCAGAGCATCCCTAATTGCATGGAGAAAGACAACCCTCTCCCATCTCCGTAAGAATTGGTTTGGGTTCACCAGTGACCTCTGTGAAAGCAGGAACAAGCACAATTAAATGTATTCTTGCTCCCAAAGGAGCTCCACCAGGGAGCCTGGACTAAATTGTTCCCCTGTAAGATGTGCCTTCTCTGGCATCCACGGCTGCACTACCAGCCCCTCTTGGACAAGGGCAACTGAAACACAGCTACTTGGAAGCTGCTCATGAACCAGAGTCAGCTGCCACCAGCTACTGCCCCACTGGAACAGAAACGAATCAATAAGAGAGGGTTAAACTCCTAGGTGCAGCCAACTTAGGTCTCCCTTGGGCAATGTTTTTCCGGCAGAGTGCCGCACCTAGAGAGAACATTTCAAGAAGGGGGGGAAAAAAGAGGAATGACCATAGTGGGGAATAGGAATCTTGTATCTACTTTCTGTTACCTGTCTCTTGAGTGGGAATTTGGAGACTTTCTGTACAGTGGGGGTGTTCATGGCTTTTTTGTTTGGCATTTTCATCCTGCAGATAATCACAATGGCCAGCACCAGGATGAAGAGAATAAAGCCAATGCCGTAACTGAAAATGCCAGCATACACTGAGCCTGAATCATCCATTTCCATGAGCTCCTCCGCTGCGGGGTGACAAGAGACAGCAGTCAGGATGGGGTAGACAGCTACCCACATGCAACTATACACATGCAGTGTAAAGAATTTGGGGAGGACTTGCTCATCTATGCCAATCTGCTGAGTGACTTCAGTGAGGGGACTCTCCTAGGCCAGTGGTTTTCAACCTGTGGCTGTAGCTAAAACATCAGTTCAGTCTGCCTTTTTGGGGAGTAATTTTACTGCACTTTAATGCAACCCTGGGGTTTCTAAGAGCCTTCAGCCCACAGGTTGAAAACCAGTGCTCTAGGCTGAAGGCATCACGTTTGTGCTGTTCCTCTGACCCAGATCTTGCTTTCCTCGCACATCCACACATAGCTGGATGCCTTGGATGTACAAAGGCTGCAGGACTGTGGTTTGCTGCACTTTGCTGATTTGACTTCTCCAGCAAAGACTTCCACTGGACCAGTGCCTGCCCTGAGGGACCAAGGAGCTCAAAGGGCATCCAGGGGTAAGGGATCACACAGGGGAAAACACTCACAATCTGCACAATTATTTAATGAAAACTTAGTTCTGGTGGGAAGAGGCTGGAAGGTCTGTCCCAGAGAAGTGGCTGAGCGGGGAGGGTGACGGCATGAGCCCATCAGCCATGGCTACCCACTAGCAAGACTTTTTTGGGACCAGAAAAGCAAAGGTTTCTCCCCTTGTTCCTTTCAAGACAGGCACAGCGACCATGGTGGGACTGGCTTTCTGTCCCCCAAAAGGCTGGCATCAGAGGAAGAGTCAGCAGTGGGAAACTTTATAATGAAGTCATGCTGGCGTGGTCAGCTCGCTAACGGCTCGTGTACATCACTGCTGCCCAAAGCAGCATCTTTGGCAAGCAGCAGGAGCTGTCCCCTGGCAGCAGCAGGCTCCACATCTGGTCTTCAGTGGCTGTGTCCAGGGGGCCATAGGGAAAAGCAATGTTGGTAACTGATCCTGCATGGAGCCATCTCCTCCTGTGAGGAAGGGTTACCAGACCTCCTGGGATCGGGTGCTACGGTTGCTGCCGCAGCTCTGCTGCCTTGTCTTGCCCTCTGCTCCACGTCTCTCCTCCTGCAGCGTGGACAGGGGTTTATAAGCAGTTGGGCTGTATCTTGTGCCCTCTCTGTGGGTAGCGCTTCGGGGCCTGCTGCTGCACAGACAGCTGTCAATCACTGCGTCTGACTTCAGTATAAAGTTCCACTTGAGGTTTTATGGTGGGTTTTCTCCTGCTTATTCTTTGCTTAAATGAGAAGTGTGAGTTCATACATTGTCAAAAACAGTTGGATGAGACGGTATCTGGAGATTCTCAAAATAACAGAGACATTAGCCTTATAACCAAAGGAAATGATTTCTATCCAGTGGATAGCAGAAGCAGAAACAGGATCAGATCAGCTATTATAGAGCTGGCAAATACACAGAGGAAAGACCAGCAGCAGGGTCGGGCATGGAAGACACCTTGAGCCCCAGTGAAAGCGATTACATCTGAACCACCCGCACAGATAAAGTCAAGATTAGAAATGCCAAAGTTTCCAGTTCCTAAACACATCCTGAGATGGGTATGTTGTGAGTCGGACCCAAATGTGGTCTATGATGGGGTGAGCCAAAGTGGGGTGTACAGGATTTTCTGTACCCTTTCACTAATGGTCTACTGAACGTATTCCAGGTCTGTTCCTGCACTCTCTGCAAGGCACAGCACCCATGAGATTCCATATGAATATTGCTGGAGTTTTCCTGGACTGTGCATAAGCCTGCCCTATAGCTGGAGGCAGCTTCTGTAGGTGAATGGACAGCACAGTCTCATTCCCTTCTTTTGAAGAGCAAACCCGTCTGTTGCATATTCTGTGCTGGCTTTATTGTCAATGAGAGCTTTTACACATGAAAGGACCACAAAATTGAGGTCACTCTGGCCTTGGGTTTCAAGCCTGCTGCAGCTTTCATCGATCCCAGCTGGAGCAGGCAGCAGGCAATGCCCCTGGGAGCCAGGACTCCTGGGCTCTGTCTACAGATGACTCTCCTTGACCTTCTGTTTGAGATCGCTATCTGGACCTGTTCATCCACGAAGTGGAAATAATGCCACAGGCAGGGAAGGGTGTACTCACATCAACCACTTATGCATCTCATTTCAGCTTAAGAGATGAGGTTAGACAGAAAGGTTCCTCCATAAGATGATCCATGATCCATGTCCAGTTTAGGTGCCCTGGATCATCTGATGGGGAGGTTTTCTTCTCCCATTGTCAGTGTAAGAAGACAAAGCTCCTAAATCTGACTTAACAGTCTCCTACCAAAGAGGCTGTGAACACTTCCCTGTTATCTAGATCAAAAAAGATACCAGGAATTTTATATCATTACTGCAATAATAATGCAAATGTTGAGATGCAATGCAAAAAGTGTCAGCTGTGAGTATGCAACAGGGGTCTGCAGCAAATCCCAGAGGATTTCCTCCCAGAGAACTTCCCCTCTTTCCAAGCAAGAGGCGGTGTAAAGGAACTTGGCATTTCTAAAGCAGAACATCAAGGCACCCTGGAGAGGGAAGGAGAGGCCAGCAGAGAAGAAAATACCTGGTAGCACCGTCAGCCAAGCAGAGTGATGTGAGAACCCAATAGAATTCCCTGCGAGACAAGTATATTCCCCAGCATCCTCAAAAGTAACATTTCGCAAGTACAGAATCTCTAGCTCCTTATCCGTTGTGTTAACACCTGCCGTCTACAGGGGAAAAAAAACACACACGTATAGAAAAGAGGGAAAACAGAGAATAAGCCACATTCCCAGCAAGTGTGAGGACACCACAGGCAAATTTCAAAAGCAGATTAAGGTGGTTTGGTTTGTATTATTTTCCAATGGCCCAGCTTCCACATTCATTTATTCATTCCCCTCTGCAACCTGTAGTCAAAAGCAAAAAAGTTCCCTTCACCAGGTTCTTACTCTGTCCCACTAAAGAAGCATGCAAGCAAAGGCATCCAAATGAAAAATTGCCCCCACAATATGACTGACTTCAGGTTAGTAGGGTGAGTACAGGAGTACAGGGGAAAGAAAGGTAGTAAAAGAGAAAAGGAAAGACAGAAAGAAAGGAGGAAGGAGAGGAGATGTAGTGGGGAAAGACTCAAGTGCTGATCAGAGGAATATATAAACATTTTGGTTCATTAGTTCGTCAAAAATAGAGAAAATTTTGGGATTTTTTACAAATTTTTAAGAGTGGGCATCTCAAAGCATATATAGATTATATAGCCCTCCATAGTGTACCATTACTCTGGCCAATAACAAGAAGGCACCTGTAAAGGAACTTTCCTGCAGTGACACTGAGCAACACAGCAGCCCAACCCTCGAGGCTAGAGCCCATAAGATTGCTGCTGCTCTCTGTATTTAACATGTTTGCTTGCATGAGCCAATGTTGACATTTATTTCTCCATTACTTCTCCAAGGGACAGAAGTGATTGTATCAGTTTTACAGGTGAAAATCTCAAAACAGGGCTTGGTTTTCCAGAGCTTTGAACGTCACAGGTCATTAACATGCAATTCTGTTATCAGCACTCAATCGTAAAGAAGGGAAAGGAATAAAAGCGTGAAGAGATGATAGCAAAATCTGACAGTCATTTTATTGTGGGAATTTTTCCATGGCAATTGCTGTATAGGCGTTACATTCTTGTTTAAAAAAAATTAGCAAGAAAATAAGATAAAGCCATTCAGCGTCAGTTGACAGGGTATAATACAAAATGAATAGTAATTTTAATCACTAGCTTCTTAAAAATGTTATAGCTCATTCTTGCAGTTGCCAGGGCCTTGGGACAGAGTCTGTGGTTTACCTGGTTTTGGTTTGCGAATGTGGAGCCAAAATGGTTTTTCGGCTATGCCTACGAAATTGTTGGCTCTACACAGATATTCTCCTTCATCTTGTTCTGTCACATTGAACAGATTTAGGTTAGCATCGGCTTCAGCGTTTTTACTGATCCAAGACTGCAGGAATAGACAGAAACCTGAACTTCAGTAAACCAAACAATACCTCATCACACCTATATCAGCTAGGATTCACTATTCACGGCTATTTTCTTTTCGGCTGTGCCAACATCCCCAGCTCACCCTGTGGCGAGAGACCTAACCCAGGACCTGGGTGAGGAAGAGGAGTTGCATTTGGCCCCCAAACCATGTACAGGTTAACTCCCTTCCCTTCACACATGCAATTTCTTTGTCCAGACAGACCACTTCTCCATCCGACAGCAAAGGTCCTACGGTTTCTCAATAACTCAGCAGACAGGAGCACCAGAGAAAGGGCTTAAGCAGAGATTTGTGTTTGCAACCCAGCTCAGCAAATACTGTTTCAATTATCAGATTCCAAAATAGAATTTGGAAACAAAATATAAGCAGCGGCGGTCTGAAAACTCACTGCTGACTCTGCCTTTCAGAAATTAGCTGTAATTTTTTCCACTGCTTATAGGAGCCTCTTCTTTACTAAATAAAGTGGTGCATATAAATCAAACAAACTTCAGACTCTTAAGCAAGGGGTTTATTTCTCTTCTTCCAGGCTGCCACAACAGCACATCAGATTTTTCCCTAAACACCAAACAGTTGTTTTTATTTTGGTTGAAAATGCACAACCATTTTGGGTGGCCTCAGAAGTAGCCTTGGGAAAGTCTAGGAAAACTATCAGCCTCAGTTCTGGAAATGAAAATAAACCAATTGCTCTTCTCATTTTTGGTCTTTTGCACTCCAGCCCAGTCTCGGTGCCTTCAAGGCCTGATCCTGCCAATATGACTTGCAGCAAAATCAACAGGCCTGCCAGATCTGACAGGTTATTAGGACCTGCATAGGTTGATTACAAACACCACCAGGTTTGACCCAATCTCATCTCTAAGGCTTATGTGCTGGCAAGCCTGTCTGTCCTGACTAGCAGGGAAACGTGCCTGCCTGCTGTTGCTGCCTTGTTTATAATTAAACTGGGCATGTTTCAATGCAGAACATACAATTTAGCCTTTGACAAAGCTTGGGCACAGTGTTGCCAGCCCTCTCTGTGTAACTGGAATGCATTTAGTGCTCTTCTGCAAAGAAAAAGGAGTTTCCTTTGATCACAAATTAGCCCAGGCTTTCAAGAACTGATGCAGGTGATGGCTTGGTTTTGTCAGGCTGTTAAAAAATGGCTTGAAAGTACAGCATTCAATTCATCCATCTGGACTGGGCTGGGTTCTGCTCCCCCCGTGTTTAGATGTGAGGGGGGAACTTCATGTGCTGGGCACCTCGCTGTCCCCCTTGCTCCAATGGAGACTGGGATATTGCCCATATATGAACTGTGCCATAGCGGCTCCTACATTCCACAAAATCTCCTGAAAGCAGGAGAGAAGGGCAGGCTGATAAAAAAGCCTTATCTCCCTGCAGCCACCACAGCATTGGGCAGGAGGGAGCCTTTTCTAAAGCAGCTGTGGACAGGGAAGGGCTGTTAACAGCACCCTGCTCCAGTGGCATGGCCAGGATGTTGGGTCAAACCAACAGCAGTGTGTGGCATAAGAGGAACGAGTCCATAGAGCCAACAGACTGGCCCCATGAGGACAGTGAGATCGTTTTATCAGATCTTTAGTTTTAAAATACAAGCACACACACATAAAAACAAAATCCCTGCAAAGCTGGGCCTGACACAGCTCCACGGAGGCCCAGTACTGGCGCACAAAAGATGCATCCCAAAATGGAAATGCTCCGTGCCCCAGCACTGATGCCGGCATTAATACAACTCAAAGCATTCCTGATTAACCAGAAGTAGTAAATAGACGTGTGCTGGTCCTATTCAGCAAAAAAATAAAACCAAACAAAACTTGTGCTTCCAAACGCCTGCCTGTGCTCCCCTTCGAGGAATGTGGAGCCTTTGCCGTCCACAGAAGAGAAGGTATTTGGCAATTCTAATTACCTAGCCACCCCGGTGCTGCTCCAACTTCATTTTAAAACACTATTTATACGGACTATTTATATGTTCTGTGCCACAGCAAAATGGGAGCTTGTGCTTGTGACACAAGGCACTGTTCGCAGCGGCTCTGCAAACTTCCAAAAGGTAGCACTTTATCCCACGGGGACCACACACGGAGCCCGGAGACTATACTAGATGGCATGTGACACAGCCAGCTATTCAGAGCTCGGTACTGGGCTGTGAAACCAGGGGGAAATTCAAATATGCATAATTCAAACACATTTGGAGAAACAGCGAGGAAAGAAAAAGTTCTATCGACTCGCGAGAAGCACGTGTTGCCAATCCTGAAGAACGGTCTCCAACCATTTCTTCCAACCAATCTGTTATTTCAATCTGTGTAATTATTTCCAGGGTCTCTGGCTTTTATTATCATGTATCTGGCTGAGCTACAGTTTTGTAGATGCTGTCTGATAAGTGGGGTGTTTTTTAAGCTTCGTACAAAGAGAAGGAAGGTGTATGCAGCAGGATGTGTATGAGGTATGTCCATGCACAGGACAACCTCAGCTCAAAAATGTAGGGACAAAATCTGCTTTCAGCTATAACTGCAGAGCTAGCATAACTCCATTTGGCCCTATATGTTTTAATAAGCACCAACACAGGATGCCGTGAAATATTAAAAGAAATAAAAGAGATTTTAGAAGTCAAATGTGCTTTTCACTCTCTATTCTCTACTCTTTATATTTACCTAGGTTGAGGGGAAACCAGACCCACTGGCTTTGTTCTGGCTGTAATCTGGAAATTCCCTTTCAAGAAAGCATTTTAGCAAAGTAAAGTCTTACTAAGTGAGTTTTTGCTCAATAAAGGCTTTCCTGAGCATGGATAACAGCAATGTTCACAAACGTTAGTGGCTGGAACAAGACTATCTTGGCTCTCAGGTGCTGGTAGTTCAGCATTATTTAGTATGTGCACGCTACAGAGTGTTTACATGAAAATGAAAGCACGTGTTTTAGTTGGGAGCCTTTTATTTTATTAAGTGCTGAAAATACCTCTATTGAAGCTGTAAAAAAAGGTTATTTTTACAATTTTAGGTCAAATGCAATCTGACAGCTCTTTCATTATGCTGCATTTCTCCCAGTTGCCTCAGCTCTTACAACCATGCTTATCTATGCCACTACAGTAGTTGTGTTATCTCTGGCAAACAGAAAAGTCTGGAACATTGACTTTAGGACATTTTTGCTGTACCCCCTCCAAAAAGCAGAGTATTCCACTGTGTGGGCTTCAAAATGGACTGCCCTGAGGGTGAGAAGAATGAGCGTGTACCAACCTTCAGCACAGTGACATAGGGTGTCCCATCTGGGCCGTATTTGCTGCCGTTGACTTCCACATGTTTCAGCCACTGGATGTGAGGCTGGGCATCGCTGTAGACCTTGCAGTGAAACTCCACATTGCTCCCTACCACCACAGTCTGGTTGGCAGGGAGCCCTGCTTGCAGGATTGGTCGGTGGGGCGACCTTTCTGAAAAACAGAAAATAGAGGGAAATCCTAACTTACATGTGCTTTTTCCAGCAAGGATTCTTCTCTGAACCCTTCATCTCCTGGCCTTTCAGCAGGAAGGGTGCAGGCTGGGATTGTCCCCTAAGGTGTCCTGGCCACCGCTCTACTCAGTGCTTCTCAAGCTGAACAGAGAAGAACCATCCAGGAATGGAGGAAGCATCTCAGCCCTGCCGTTCCTTCTCTGGCTTCTCTGTATACCAGCTAAGTAATTTATTAATCACATATCTGAGGTTGAATTGTTGGCCTAAAGAAAGCTTGTTGTTTGTTTTAGAAAACACATGATCCAGCAGTTTGGGAAAGAAACCAATCTCCTGTTTCCCATATCCAATCACATACCACAGAACAGCTGTTAAAGAAAACAGTGAAATCTCACCTAATACATCAAGCTGGTACGTGTGCCTAATGTTGCCATATTTGTTCTCCACAACACAGGTGTAATTTCCTCGATCTGATGGCACAACACTCTCCATCACCAAGCTCCACTGCTGGTGTCGCAACTAGAAGAAGAAATCAAACCATCAAGCTTGCCGTCAAGTACCATCACCACCAGACTATTCAAATCAGTGAACAATCACTGAGCTTCTATATACTTGGCAAGCATGAATGGACCCCAGAATAGGCCTGAACATCACAAGGACCCATCTCAAGGGTCATTAAAGGCTTAAAGTGAAAAGGAATTAAGACCAATGCAGGAACAGTGCAACACAACAAAACATGCTGAGATTGCAAGGTGACTTGTTGATGCTTCCACAATAACAATACTGAAACCAGCTGAATGCGGCACCTCTCGTTAGAATAACGACTTCAGAAGGCTTCAGCTAACTCTGATGTGGTCCCCTCTGCCAGACCACTCTGGTCCAGAGACTTTGTCAGCTCAAAATACTGCACTCTCACCTGCAGATCGTCATCAACTGCTACATATAACCCGTAAGATGACTACAAACAAAGATCATACTTATTACTGCATCTATTATACAGATGCGTGCTATGGAGGCAACAAGTCATAGCATCTTATCTGAGCAGAAATGAGTGTCTACAACTGAATTAGTCCCTTGAATTCCCTGTGAAACACAGGAGAAAACATGCTCAGGTCTGGTCCCTAGAATGCTTGGTCAGCCCTTCTCTTCTGGCACAAAGTTTTATACTGCTTGGTTTTCTGGATGTGGCTCATGTCCAGAATTGTTAGCTGCTCAGTAGCAGAAGGGAAAGCACAACCCATGTCTCCACTCCGATCGGCTGCCCTGTGATCCCAGTGAGAACATTTGTTTCTAATGAGTATGAAGTACATAACGGATATGGAAAGCAAATCCTAAATTAATACAGAAAGCAACCAACAGTGACAAAGACGATTTCAGGATGCGTAGCATAAAAAAGTTCTCCAAATCTCTGGATATTCATTTAATGCCTTCAACTGCCCAGAGCAGAACATATAACTTCACTAAGTATTTTGACGGTGACTCCAAGGACACAGAAGCAGGAGATTATTATAATGCTGTGCTACAAAACATCAAGGGCTGATGGAAAAAACAAGGGCGTAATTGCTCCTGGAGGTTTCTTGCTGCAGCAGGTGAACTCTAATATGAAGTTATTTAACCTCCTTTGCTACACCTAAATTGCATCCACATGCTTTCCTTTAAAGGGCCAAGTCTCAATTAAAGCCAGGATTTTGCAAAGAGAAGGTTTAAAGTTATAGGACTAGTGTGAGGCATCCCTACCCATGGCAGTGGGGTTGGAACTAGACGATCTTAAGGTCCTTTCCAACACCAACTATTCTGTGATTCTATGACTAGACAGCTTAGTTGCAAGCTAGGCAAGCAGAAGTCATTTTAACAAAGCTTTTTGAATCTCTGCATCCCTGAGAACAGCACTGCTGAGCACCCCACTTTTCAGAGACCGCTGAATATACAGCATTTAATTTTGGGTTATAGGGAAGAGGAGGCTGTGGCTAAGTCTGTACAGAAATCTTGGCTATTGCAGATGTCTGGTCGGGTCTGACTGCACCCTCTGCCCACCCAGGACAGCACAGATAGAGCTCAATGCAGAACCAACATTACGCTTCTTGTAAAGCAACATCCCACTTGGTGCATCTCTAACGGCTTGGCAATTACAGGGTAAAAGGAGCTCTGAGAACAGAGAACCTGGACCCTGAGTTCACAGCTGAACATACCAGACTGTCAAGGAAGTTTCAATGCAAATTTGTGGCTGCTCCATGGCTTATTTCCATACTGGCTTGTCTCATAGTGGTGTCTAAAGACCTTTTTTAACGCACTTTTCAGCATTGCAAAGCACTTGCATCTGGAACCCCTAGGAGCTACTCCATGGAACTGGGGCTCCAAGTACACAGATGACTCCCTAGTCTGACCTGTATTATAAAATCTGGTCCAAATTAGGTGTTTTACTTACGATGCACTTTCAAAGACACTTTTAAGCCACTTTCAAAGAACTTCTCTTTGCCAGGTTTGTGAGGGGGACTTTGGACTCTGAACAGAAACGAGAACCTGGGGGGCAGAACCTGTTTGGAAACTCTTACAGAAGATAGAAGATTATTTTAATTGTTGGTTTGTCCTGTTTTTTTTTAGTTTGAGACTGGCATCTAGAGTTAAAGGATAATCAAAAGGGACGTTCCCAAGTTAGGATAGTCACCACACTCGACAGAACACTAGAAACATGAAGTGACTTAGTGCAGGCGTTAATCAATTGGGTGAGATACTGGAAATCCCTCTGGTTTATTCGGTGTTGTCATTCTTGGCTCCTGTGAAACTAACATTTGCAGACACACTTGGAACCTCAGTCCATGTTTGCCAGACTGGTATGCAAGTCAGTGCAATGGTCTGGGGAAGGGATAATCCTCTATCTCCCCTCCCCCTCAGTCTTCCCTTCTAGGGTCATTTAACACACACAGGCTTACAATATTAGAGATTCCAACAAGGATTTAACCATTAATACTCTTTCGGAAATTTCATATGATAAGTCATATGAATTTCTTGTCTTTATCAGTTAAGGATGGACTGTAACAGAACTAGGTTAGCCTGCACTTCGTTTTCAACACTCTCCCTTCTCTCCTGCAGGCTTTTCACTGGGCAATCACACAGATCTAAATCCAGCTTGCAAGAGGCAGAAGTGGAAGAGTGGTCAGCTTTCATCTGCTGACCACAGATCTTTCACAATCAACACTGAAACTCTTCCACACACCGAAAACAAATGAGAACATTCTCAGCTCAAGGATTTCTGGGTTAAGACCAGATCTCGAGATGAAGTAAGCCAACCAAACTCTGCCAAATCTGGATCTTGCCCATTCTTTTCAAGCTGCCTAATCCTGTTATGAAGATAAGTTGTAACGGGGAATTTAAATCTTAAATGCATGAGATAGATACTGAGCAGGTTTTAAATTTCTTTTTCTGGTTCCAATCTCAGCTGATATCTATCAGTATATTTATACTGGATGAGATTTACATTAGACTACTTACATCTAACCCCGGCTCAAGAGTAAAAACAAGCAAATAAGGGAAGGAAATCTACAGAGAGAGAAAGATGTCTTTATATCAAGAACAGGACAAAGAACTACACCTAGACAGATGGAGAGCTTAAACCAATCTTGCTGTAATTGGTCTGACATTGCCTTCAATAGCTCTTTTAAGCATCGGCTTGTTGCTAAAGGTGCCCCTAGAGAAACAAAGCACAGCGATGCCAGAGACTCACTACTGTGTTGCAGAGAATGAAATGTGTCAATTTAAACTCAACGATAGATTAAAACCACTAGGAAGTGGGTAGGGGAATTGCTTTCAGCTTTAGATTTTATTCTGCAAGCATAATTTAGTGCAGCTGATGTCACATAGTTTTGTAAAAAGCCATTCGATCGGCGCACGCAAGCCTGAAAACACTTCATGATGATCCTTACTGCCTGCAATTAGTAAAAGATGCCTGTGCTTTGTGAATGCTATCTATCTGCTGAGAGGCTGTTTACCCACAGGAGTTGCTTCCCCACTTCTTTTCCCTCCTTAACTTTTCAGAAGATCCAAACCTGAGCGTGTCCTCAACTTCGTCCAGGCTGGAACAGGGAAAGGACTGAGGAGGGAGCTTCAAAGGCTTCACTGAAGCAATCACAAAAGGCTCTTTCAGGAATGGGTCTGAGCTAACAGGAAAGAAACAGCCCAAAACTGCGGCGAGGGAAGACTTTTTGAATCCTTTCTTGGTTTCTGGAGCCCGGCACGCTTTGCATGCCTAGCTCCCCTTCAAAATGCTACAGATGTGGTAGGCATCAGCACATCAGCACACAGCTATTCCGAACACCAGTGGAGGTGCCTTCCTAAAAATTACCTTCTTTCTTTACTGGTAGCCCAGGAACATGCCAGAGCTGGCTGAGTGCAGGCAAAAATCACTGCTCAGGAGCCCTTCCTTCTATACTGATTTTTGTTATAATCAGCTGCTGCCAGTTTTATTCTTCCCTAATAAAGCCATAAAGGAGCCTGACTGTGACCTCAAGGGACAAAATAATAACAAAATCAAAGAACTCATTTTCCTGTTAAAGTCCTGCCACAATTTGTCATATCCAGCAGCACAGACACTTCTGGCTAATCAAATAATTCAAGTGCTGTGGGTTTTTGTGTCCCTTAGGTCTATCTATAAACATGAACCAGAGCATTTTCCAGAACACCTCATAGTAGAAAGGAAGGAGGAAGAAGAAAGCAGCCAAGGAGCCGATGCTATTACTCTGGCTGCATCCAACACTTGAACAAGGGTCAGTGATTTGTACCACAAGAATGTTAATGACCACCAGCACGATGGCCCAGCTCTTTGGTGAGGTCCTCCTACACCTTCAAGGGTTGCCGAGTCAGCTTTCATTGAAAGCCTGGAAAGCTGGAAGCAGCTATGTCTCAACACACTGGGCTGATCTCCAGAAGTTACGACAGAAGCTCCTGCTTTCTCATCATTGCCCACAGTGCAACCATAAACCCAGCACCATTTTTACCTATTCACTGAACAATCACTGTAGACAAACCCAGAGGGAACTAGCCTTCAATCCCAAGGGACAGCAGCCCTTTCTAACACTTTGGTGATGAGCAACTGCTAAGGCTGCAAGAAACACCCTTACTCCATCCCCACATGTGTATTCTTACATGTACCAATGTTAATTCCTTTGAAATACAATTTTCTACAGTTGGTAGGAAACTCCTGATAAACACAGAGATCCAAGCCAAGGCCTTACCTTGATGCCCCCAATCCTATGCTCTCCTTTGAACTCCTTGCCATTTTTCAGCCAGTAGATGGAAGGGGTTGGGTTTCCACCCGCCGGACATCGGAAGCGAACGGTGTTGGCGGCAGGAACTGCCAGCAGCTTCTTCTCCATCTTATCTGGCCGGGTCCAGAAGGGGACACCTGAGGAAGGAAAGACCAAGTTGAATAGGCCTGTTTCTGCCACAGAGGATATCAGCTGCTGAGCAGATGCATTTGAGGAGGCTTTGGCATGTGTAGTGAGTGACAGTTAAATTGCTACCTGCTGCAGTGAAGATAAATGACACAGAAACGCTTTCCAGCTAAATGACTCTCATAGACGTAGACAGGGTGTTTGCATTTTAGGTTAGTGATGAAAGGTTCATGACCAGGTTTTTGTCTCAGTAATGCCAGTGTAAATCTAAAGTAGCTGCTTTTAAATCAACAGGTAGAATTATCCCAGATCAGGATGAGAGTTTAGCCTCAGTGTTTAAAAAGATACAGATGTACCTTCGGGGACAATAGTAGCCAAGAAGCATGAACAGCAGAAAGATGTTGGAACTGTAAAAAGAATGTTGATGGGCCAGCAAGGGAGCAGGGAAGAAGTGTTAGCTGAGTGCACTGGAAAATTCTGCTTCTCCGTGAGCACAAATGTAGCCTCCTTAAGGGAAGGAAAGAAAAAAACCAGCCAGTGCCAAACTGGTTTATCATGTTTATGTTCTGTAAGTACAAGTGATTTTAGTTTTAAAGATTCATGTTACCTTTGAACAGGGATAAGTTGTTTTAAAACACCAGTGTTAGCATGAGATACTTTTTATAATCTGCCTCAAGAACAGTGATGTTTCTTGGCTATGTTACAAACATTACATATTAACTCCAAATTAAGGCAGCAGCAAACTCATTATACTGGGAAGAAAGAAAAAGAAAGTTTCTTTAAAAAGCCTCCCAAGCTTTCATTTCTGCTTAAGGAAACACTGCAGAGCTGCATGTGGGGTGCTTCCCCTGTCACACTGAGGGTCACGTCCAGCCCCCCAGCTCTGTGCTCCACACCAAGGCCAAGGGGAGATGGGGGCAGACAGCATTTGGGCTGCAGAACAGCAAAGTGAAAGCCAAGGACTGTAACCGGCATCTCCCCTGGATGGGAAGGAAGCACCCACAAACACGAGAGTACCCAAACCCACCAGATACAGGGACTTGTACGCTTCTGGCGAAGACAACCTGAAGGTGCTGGTCCTTCAATAACTGCTAAGGAAAACAGGATGGCCACCAAAGCTGTCGGGAATCATTGCTTCTGGCTTCTCCTGAAGCAGTGATGATGCTCAGGAACACCACCCAGCATCACAGCCCCACCTCAGTGCTACTCTTAAGCCTCTGCAACCCTCTCCCCCTTGGTGACAAGGGTGTACAAAGTTTTCCCTCTTGCTGCATCCCTCTGAGATGCACCTGAGCTGTTCTCTTTCTCCAGCGCTCCCCAATTAACTTAGCCCATATGTGCTTGGCTCCACAAGACCCATCCCTTTGCTTTGCCATTCAAGTCAGTGATGAGCCCGCCTTGGTCTAAGTCCAGAGTGCCCCCTATGCAGGCTCCCTGCTGCATTTCAGCTCCAAGGATTTTGCAGGCAGGGTGCGCACTAAAGCAGGAGTACAGCTGGCACAAACAAATCAGAAAGAGGAATTCCTGCAATGCCCATGCTCCTGGCAAAATCCTGGCTACAAACTTTGCTGTGGACACACAGCATATCCAGGAGAGGTCTCAAATGCTACATGCGGGCTAAAGCTGGACATCATGTAGCCGTTTACCTTCCAACGTCTGAGCTTAGAAAATTGGTAGAACTGCACAAGAATGGGAAATGCTCCCAAAAATGCCAGAAAAGTGGGTGCAAGCCATAAAGGAAGAGCAAGTCTTGATGCTAAAGGAAGATGCTGCTATCGCATGTGTTGGGAAAAGCAGAAACCAAGCAAAGGTTGGGTGAAAGCCCAGGCAGCAGCAGCAGGGGGGTGGGTGAATCTGGAGGAGGTGGGGTGGTATTGGGAATGCTGAAGAGGAGGGAGCTGCAGAAACCGTGTTAGGAGACACCTGGCCTTAGGTTTCTGAAGCACAGGCTATTTTCTAGCCCAACACTTCCTTTTGGCAAATCCCAGAGACTTTACAGCAGGTCAACGGGACTGAACAGGACAGAGTTCAGGGAAAGGCCAGTCACGGATGGAAAAGTCCCTCTTCTTCGCTGCTAAGGGCAGCCAAATAACCTGCTGTTTGTTTTTTGATTAACATATCTGCCTACAGTAAATCCCATTTTATGGTGTCGGTGACACTCACCCAGGCACGGGGATGTAACTAGATCACACAGCCGCCCCGCCAGGACCAAGCTCCTCCTTGTGCTGTGCTTTTGGGGAGTTTTCCTCTTTCCACACTGTCTGCATGTGCTGCAGGGTGAGGTTTCACTAAGTTTTCACACTCAAAAGATGAGCCTGAATCTCACAGGAGTCCCATCAACCCACTGGCTGCAAATGTTGTCACTGAAGCCAAAAGGGATTTTGCCATTGGACATCAGAGAGGAGCAGGAAAGTTTCCAGCTGGGGATATTCTCCATATGGAGCAAAGGCAGGATCAACTCCTCCCTCCTGCAATTAGACACAGCTTCTTCCCCAAGTGCCTTCCCTTTATTTGGGTGCTCTTCCATGCGATTCGGGGCTTACCAGGGCTGGGCACCCCTGGACTGATCTGCCAAGATTCAAACAATCACGGCATCGCTCTCAAGTCAAACTGGAACTGGAAGAAAGTGTCTGTGCATTGAAAACAGTGCCTTTGTTCTCACTCGCAGGAGCAGCGAACAAAACATCACTGCTTTCGGTTTGCTGTGCCCCCAGAGTCCTTTCATTACCACTTTTTAAGGGGGTGAAAATGTTGCTAACTCTTCTTTTCAAGCAACGCTTGCAAAGCTCCAGAGAGTTTCAGCAGCGAGAAAGGAGGAAGGATGAAAGACAGCAAAAATTTCTAGACCCGCTCTCTCTAAATTAATTACAAGCAGTGATTTTGCATGTGCAGGTGTGAAAAGAAAAGGGACCTGAAAAACATCATCACTGGCCCTTTCCCATCATCAAACACCAAACCCGACACAGTCCGTTTTGTTTGCTAAAGACACTGGCCACCCATCCGACTGGAATGACCAATTAAAAAAAAATGAGAGGGATACTTGGAATAATTAATACAGCCGAGCGCTCATTTAGCAATTAGGAGCTGCCACCAAATTCTGTGGCAGACAGAATCAACCCTAATTGTGTAATTTCCCCAGCTGACGCCTCCGAGTACACAGCCAGATTTAATTGGAGATTATAGGGGCTCTTTGAAGGTGCTGGGGCTACGCAGCGGGGGCTCCAAACAAACAGATACAGGCGGGTAGGGAGCACTGGGGCAGAAGAGCAGTGTGTGAAAAGGGTGTTTTGTTTTTGTTTCAGGGCCAGGAAATACAGCTGTAGAGAACAGAGGTATTGGAAAGCCTCTTTCTGCAAAGGCGGAGTGTGGTTTGTGACAAGGCTGCAACAAACGGGCCAATGATTTGAAGCTGCTCAAGTTCCTCTTTCTTCTTTGCTGCTGCCCACCCCTAAGGGATGCCCCGTTTCTATGCTGCCCTTCAGAGAGGATGCTTGAAGGAGGGTGAGCAGAGCAGAGCACTCTATGTGGAGGGACTGTCTCTGTGCTTTCCAAGAGGTTTTGCATCAAATATTGATTTCTTTTAGGGCAGATTTCTTCTCATTCTCTTGCTTTGGTATTTCCAGTTCATGTTTATCAACACTTTCGGGTCAGCCCCCCCAGACTGACAATATTAGCTTCAAACTCATGATGCTATTGGAATCGGCTCTCCAAGCTCTTTTCTATAAATATGAGAGTAAGAAACTCCCCTTGAACAACACAATTAAAGCAGAAAATTAACTTATCATCACAAGGGGCCAGGAGACAAAGTTTTTATTAGTGACATGCAATATGGCAACAGGCAGTGAGCCAGTCCTGGAGGGATTACCTCCCCCTAAATATGAACAACTATTGGTTATATTATTCTTTTGCATGAAAGCATGTTTATTGCCTTCATTCCTGTAACTACTGACCATGGCTATGTCTGATGGCCAAGCAGAGGCCCATACATCCATTATTAGGGTCTCTTTTTGCCACAAGAGATGGAGGACATAGGTCTTTGGGCTGTCCATAGGACATGGCACTGGCTATACCCACGTGCCCAGGATGGTCCTGCAGCCCCTGTGGACTGTCCCACAGTGGTGGTGCCAGGGTTAATCACACAGCTCCCTAGACTCAAGAGAAGAACTGTGAAGCTTAATAGGAGGGTCTGATGTCAAACAAAGCAACAAAAAGCACGTCCATGTCATGACACGCCATGAGGCCTCACCACGCTGGCACGTTAACCTGATCAACCGTTTTTAAAGCAGAAGAGAATCCAACTTTTCATAATAAGACCTTTAAACAAAGACAGCCGTTACCTTCAGGTCTAAAAAAAGAGACAGCCTCGAAGTCAAGAAGACCCAGAATACAGGCTATAAATACATGTGGTGAAACGTGTGTTTTCCTTTTCAGTGGAGAAAATCGTGTCTCTCTGTACCATAAACCAGCTGATGTTTTTTGATATCTGTTGCTAAGAGATAGAATTTACTACAAGCCACATAAAAAAAAAAGTTTAGAACAATTAATTGTGCTCATCAGAACCTGTTCTGCAGCAGGAACAAATCCTGCAGGACCAAACCTGACCCTCCCTAATCCCCTACCAGGCTTCAGCAGGCATCAGGAGCACTAAGCACCTCTGCAAGGGTGCCCATCGTCTTGCAGAATCCAGCCCTTAATTAGAAGCCACCAGAAAACCACTAACTGCTGCCGATGGGTCACCTGGCACCATAACTCACCACCACTGTCCACATACTGCACAACACAGTGCTATGAATTTATTACAGTAGGAGACCTGTTTTAAAGAGTCGTGCATGTCCAATGCTATGGGCAGCAGAAATTTTCCAGTCATGTTGAACTTCTGCCAATGTACATAGCTGATTGGGAGTTCAAATGCAAGACATTTATTTATTGAAAACACATACACACAGGCAGCTCACTTTGCAGAAATATAAAGAGCATAATAAAACACCACACTAACGCCTCTGAAGCATGTAATGATCCTGATTAATGCTATTGCACTTAAAGAAACAAGCCCTGGGACTGAAAGAGATTCAGAGTAAAAGCACAGAGAGGCTCCGTCCTGGGGCTCCCTTTCCTATGTGAGCAAAAGAAAAAGCCAGTAAAGCAAAAGGGGTTGCTCCCACTTACAGCATCAGCACATCTGGCCCTTGGCTAGTGTAAATTTTATGCTCTGACTCCAGCCAAGATGCTGGTAAGGACCAGAATCAAACCAGCTAAAAATGATGCAGGTCAAGGTTTGCAATGGTGTAAAACTGGTGTAAAGTCAGTGAAGGTAAGAAAAAACTAAGTGGGTTTGCCTGGATTTACATTCAAGGAGGATTTCTAACACCAGCTCAGCAAGTCAGGTTAGCAGAATCAAGCCTCCAAAAACCCCCATGCTACTACTGCTGTAGTATGTTATAGCAGCAATACCACTCTGGCAGCTATTCCTAACTTTTAAGATAAGCAGGTCACTGATTTCAGAACAGAGGAAGAGCTGCTGTCTGACCAGGTGAACATCTGGATGAGCTGCTCTGCTTGGGAGCCACACTGCTTTGAAAGAAAAGGCCTCTGTATGCCATAAAAACAAATTACCTGTATCTTCTGACTCATCATCGTCATCTTCATCATCACCCGATGAAGGGGAATCTAGGAGGAGAAGGAGAAGGAAGTGAAGCAGAAAAAGGATGGCATGCAGGGACACCACACTGGACAAGGCTGTTGGTGCCATGACGGGCTTCAGCAAGGGAGGGCATCTCAGTGATGGGTCAACCTTTGCTGCAGCTCCACCAGCCCATCCCTTCCATGCTGCTGGGCCAGGCCCTACTGGCCAGGAGCTTTCTGAACTGGGAGAGAGGTGTTACGAGTTTGCCAGTGTTCTGCACCAGAGACCAGGGTCCAATGCCAAATACTTCTCCTTGTGTAAAGTGCTCTTCTCATAAATACGAAAGCACTTCCAAAAGGGGAAGTTTCTTTCTGCAGAACAAGCTCTCCCCGACTTTTTTTCCCCTCTACCATTCACTATGAAGACATTTTATTCCACCGAGTCTCAAAATGACAGGTCAGCATTTCTAATTCACTTTCCCTGCATTTTTCTTTTACCTCAATACACCCCTGCCACGTCTCCCTTTGTTAACTCCTTGCTCAACCATTCAGACTAAAGCTTTTAAAACCTCCCCTTGCAACCAAACCTCTCGATCGATCGATGTTTCGATGGCTACTCCATGAAGCAGTTCCCTTCAGTCATATTCCTCCTACAAAGGCACCTCAAGGCAGTAACTGAATACAGGTTAACATCTGTATCTCTCCAAAACATCCTGATTTGTTTCTCTTAATGTGGTCTAACATCTCACCTTTTCCAAGCTGTCCACAATAAAGTCTCAGTCTCTCTCCTCCCTAACAAATGACTACTATAAATGTAAATCCCATTATCAAATAGCAGCTTAGTGTTTGATTTAGATTACACAATTTAGTACAATTCAGTGTCTGGAAGATTTAGCACCACTGACTTCATATAATCTCCAGGAATGTCTTTTTTAAATAAAGGCAAAATGCTACCAATCCAGCAGCCTTTATATTCTAAGACAGTGGTAAGAGAATTTGGCCTTACACACCAGAAAATAGGAAACTTTATGTGTTCAACATGTGGCCAGAAATGTAAAGCACTACTTCAGACCAAGCCAGCCAGAACCTCCTTCATTTCAAGATGCACTTGAGTTTTCTGCTGTTCTCTGTCCAGCTCAGTGGAGGTAAAAATAAGGGGGGTGAAGCAGGAAATGGGGAAGAGGGAATAAAAACAAACCCCAAAGGTAAGGGAAATACTATTTCCCTGCAGAATCTGGAAGGGCTTTCCAGACATATTCACCATCTACAGGAGGAAGTAACACAGGAACTATCTCTATAGGCTGTACTGGCACACTGGGCTTTGCACCTTCTCCTTGGCAAAGTGTCAAGGAAGTCTTGAAGCACGTATCTAACTGCAGATCCCCAGCTGAGGTCCTGCTGGCAGCAGAGCCAGGGAAATGCCACGGGGCTTGCTGAAAGTGAAGTGGAAGTTTAGGAGTTTTGGCTGAACCAGCAGGTTTACTCAAGTCCTGGCGAAGGCAGAAACCCAGCCAAATACCCACCAGCATCGACAGAGAAACCAGCACACTGTCAGCCCTGCACTCTCAGATTTGGTTATCCATATATTAACATGTAATTATCATTTAATTCCAATGAGCCAATCATGACCAAAGGAGCAGAATCAATTTTTAAACCAATTCAAAAACATTTCCACAAGGTTGCGGGCAGAGACTTTGACCCTGTTCACGTTTCAGGGGAGAGGTGCAGCTTAGGTTTTAAGAACAAATATCCCATGTTCAGAGCTTCTGTCCTATTCACTTTACTAAAACATCATCTTTTTCAGAAGGTGACTAAAAATTTCTAAGCTGTTTATTAATCATTTACTAAAATAGTAAACCTTTTCAGACACTGACAAGTATTGGCATCAACAAGAACTGCTAGATGCTGTCCTCAAAAGACCTTTAATTATGAATGGAAAAGGGCTTAAGTTTTTTAGTCACCTGTTTTGAATAGCTTAATGTTGGATATTTTGAAAGCTTTTTTTGCTGGTACCAGCCTTCAGTTCATGCTCATCACAGGGGTGCTGCTCAGCCACTAAATCCAAAGGCTGTTCCGTGCATGAAACGGTTGCAGAAATGGAGCTTCTGCCAACAGGGCTGGACATCAGTTTGTGCCTGCAGCCTGTATTTGTGACCCTCTTCAAGTGCTCAGGTTTTAAGAGGACAGTACATTTCTTTCTGTAAGCTACCAAAACACTCAAGTCCATGTCTGTCAAAGGAGGCATTTTAAAGAGATCAAACCCTGCTATTAATCAACCTGGTTTTCAACCCTAAAACAAGAACTCCAACATCTCCTTGCTCTGCCTTCAGCATCAAGCATATCACTGTGCACACTGAGAGTCGCTCTGGAAGAGCCAATTTGCTGCAGACTCAAAAATCACAGCCCCACACAGGAAAATCCCGATATGCTTCTAGAATCTGGAAGCACGTCTCAAAATGGGACCAATTCTGAATACACCCAGCCTAGTTTTGCTCAGTTAAGAATACATACCAGAGCAACTCCAGATTGTTAGCGCAGATTTAAACCAGTTTAATGCAGAGAACAACTCCAGCCCCAAACATCAGATACCCACATAAACACCCAACCTGAGCTAATCGCTGGCGTTACCTTTAAGAATTGGGAACACAAACCACAAACCTCTGATAACAATCTCATCTCCTCAGTGCAATCAATACTAATTATGAAGAAATATCTGCACATACAAGAGGCGCCACTATTGCCACATAAAGCAGGGCTTCAAAGTTTAAAACAAGTGCTGCTGACAGCTAAAACGGAGACTCCCACATTACCAGCACTTTGGTGGTAATGACAGTGGGCTAATAGAATCAAAGACTCATAATGCTGTCAGAAAGCAGGTTCAGGTTACTCGCTTGTTCTTAAGCTGTTATTAGCTATTATTAGCAAAGAGGAAAAACACAGGGGCTTAAACTTTTTAAAAGCAGAGGATTATCAGCCCTTCCACTATTAAAAACAATTTCTCACTTTACGAACTTCTGGGGCTGGCAGCTGTTTCATTTGAGCGTGTAACCAGCTGCCCTCTTCTGCCTCCCTGCTGCCCCTTGAACTCAAAAGCATTTTAATGTCACTTAAAAAAAGAGAGAGTAGTGTTTCTAACAACCTGCAGTTCCTTGGATAGTTCCAATAATCATACCTAGTTAGAGGAAGCCTTTCAAGGGCCAAATACTTCTTTAACCATTTAATTGATATGACCTTGAAGTATTCACAGCAATCTCCAGTAACATTCAATGAAAAGCAGATGTTGGTGGAGGCTTGCTGAAACAAGCTTTTATTCTCACGATGGTTTGATTCTCTCACACAAAATCCTATTTCTGGCATGAGAAAGCCCTTCATGGAGTGGATGTGATTTACAATCACAAACATGTCTGTGTTTAGTTTTCAGACAGAGCCCCTAACTTTTTGAGGGAACTCAACTTTCGAAGGCAAGGACCTACTGTTCAAGGATGCTTATAAAAGCTCCAACAGTCCAAGGGCAAAAGAAAGTTTTCAAAACCTTAGATCTACAAGGGGTTCATTCTTCTGAAAATTCAGGCTTTTAACCTGTGTGATCAGGAGGCTCTCTATCTGCTCGCAGTGATGAGCACCCAATTCACCAGTGCAGCAGCCTGAAATCATGGAGATGATCTTAGTGTTAGCCATTAGCTATCTGGGAACATCAGATTTTTCTTGCACATTCTGTTCAGTGATACAGGCTTGGACAGCTTGTAGCTGTTCTGTCCTAATCATGGAAAACACGGCCCAGCAAATGATGGCATGTGCTTTCCTAACACAGCACTTGTTTGCAATATACGAATCCCAACAAGTACCTTTGATGAAGCACATTTTTGAGACTATAAAGCTTACAGGTAAACTACTTTTGAATCAAACTGGTAATTTGTGATATCCAGGGTGGAAGGAAGAGATCTATCAGGTATGGTAGGGAAACAGTTTTCAGGAGCCTCCAGCTTTTACATGCAATTTTGCCACTGATTTGTCACATAAAGTGGGAAAAGTCACTTAACCTCTCTGAGCCACAGTTCACTCACTCACAAAAGACTTCAAAGGCATATGTAGCATTGCATCTATTTAAGTGTAAAGGGGGATTTGGGGTTTAATCTGACTAGCACCGTTTCTAAGTCTCTCTCAGTATTAACATCAAGCTTTAACATTCGGTATGGACACGCAAGCATTCTTCCATTGGTTTGTTTTGTCAGTCTAATCACTGCCAGGAGTTACCAGGGAGGTAGAGACCTACCAAGTACGGACAAACACCGCAAAGCACCAGCTGTGCTGAACATGTGGAGGCACAAAAATAAGGATAAACAAGTCACCGAGAGCGCTGTATTTCTGCACGTACCTGTAACTCTGACTGTAAAGTTTCCCAGGACCTCGTTGGAATGCCTTGGCTTGCAACTGTACAGCCCCGAGTCATCATATGACACATTGATTATCTTCAACAGTTTTTGTCCAATATGAGTTCTGTTGGTAGGTGCAATCCCGATACCATCTTTAAACCAGAAAACAGACACAGAAGAGCCTTGGGTGTTACAGGAAAGTTCAATGGTATCTCCACTTCCAAACACCAACTCTTCTAGAAAGGCGGTCTCGCTCCTCAAGTATTCTGCAAAGGGAGAAAGAAATGGAAATGAGCAAAAAAGAGCAGTTACAAAAGAAGCGTATCTTATGTTTGCCCTACTGATGCTTCCATGTGCCCAGAGCTCCTCCAAAGACAGCTGCGCACACCATAATCAGGTAGCTGATCTACAAGGATGGCTTCAACCCTGTAGCAACCAAAACATGCCATCGCCCCACCCAGTGCATCACAACAAACAGAACAGACCTCTATGTAGGGTCATTGCAACACCTAATGTTGCGTGGGGGGCTGATCTGGTAGATATTAAGTGCGTGCTGCAAAGTTCACAGTTCAGTCTCTGGATCTCTTTATTCCTATTGAGGCCGTCCACAACTGCTGCATCTCTGTGTTCTGGCTTACACCATCTCTGAGACTGTACACTCCACCAGGCATAAGAGTCTTGGTTTTGAACAATATGTATCATGTGGGATCTTATTCCACAATGAAGGCACTTTGATGCTGTGATTACATGATTAGCAAGTAAAAAGTAATTCAAAACAGGTAAATCTGAACCTAATCCTACAATCCAGGTGGCCTGAGTTGATCTCTGATAGTAATCCAATATAGATAGAGATCCTAATTTTGCAGCTTAAGCATATTCATAGACTACAATTTGACTATGAAACCAATGTAATTACAGCAGCTCTGAATACCTGAGGATGTGGCATTGGCTTCAAGCTGCTCTTCTGCCATTAACTGAAAGAGTCGGAGCGTTTTTAAGAGAAAAATGCATTGCTTTTCTTGTCAAGCAGGTTCTCGTTCTTGTGGAAATGTAAAAATTACAAATATCAAAATGTTTCAGTCAATAGCCTTGCAGGGCAGAAATAAAGAATCCCAGGGGCCTCAAAATGTGGTATTTCATGGGAGGTATCGTCTCACAGGAGGCAAAGCCCACACTCACTGGGGTTTCAAAGAACCTTTCCTCTGATACCCTGGCAGCATTTCCAACTGAGATATTTCAGGTTTTGGCCAGAATGTTGTGGTATTCCTGCAGCCAAAGGTTGAGGGTGTTGGTTTTTTTCTCTTGTAATGAACAGATTTTCCCTGAAAGCACACACTTTTAGGAAAGAGAGAAAGAAGACAGAGCTCTTCTTATCAGACCAGCACCTGTTGAGACACTGAGTGTCTACCCACGGTCTCTTCCTAACTGGGATATATCCTTGGGGAAAATATGGTTGAGAAACATTCTGGTTTAACTTTCAGGTTTCTTTCAGGGTTTTTTCTTCCTTCTTCTAGACTATAAGGATTTTTTCTGATGGTACCAACTTTGGCTACCAATTAAAAAGCCCTGTGCTTGCCCTTTGTGCTTGCAGGATGGGTACTGATCTTTCTTTGCTTGTTGACTCTGATGGAAGCTCTTGCTACTTTCATCTACTGGAAAACAAACCCCATGCAGCTGAACAACCCCTCCATACAAAATACACACTTCTACCCAAGCTGTTTGCCAGATGATCAAGACTTGTGTATTTTGGCTTTTGTATCACAAACCTACCAAACAGGAACAAGCCCAGACTAAGTACAAACCAAAGTGTACTGTTTAGCCATTTAAAAGGAAATCACTCTTTTCTGAAAGCCACATTGAACCTGGGTTAATGACAAAGTGACAAAATGATTTTATAAAACATTATTAGGGAATGCTGAAATAATGAGGAAATTCCTTTTGGGCTCAGAGCAGAACGACTGGAGTCTGAAGCTTCTTCTGTGGGAAGAAGCATCATCTCTTGTTTCTGACAACTTTATATTGCCATTTCCACTCTCAGTCTCCCCAGCTGGTCTCCAACAGGTATCGTGATACAAAGTCCAATCCTAGTGACTTTATTCCTACTGACTGGGAGCAGCATCTGGAAAGATGGAGTGGTGAATTAAAAGCAGAATGTTACTAATGGTTTTAATCTTACTTCTTTAAACACTTTTTCAAATTTAAGTTTATATGTTTTGGCTTAAAAAATAAACAGGATCCAAATTGGAGACCTCCACAAAACACTTAAATGTGCACTGAAATGCTTAAGTAATTTGCCCAACTGTGACTTGGAGAAAGAGATTTTACTCTTATTCCTCACATAACTTTCAAATATGGTGATAAATCCAAAAGTGCACAGAGTCTCATCTCTATGCTGGCTGAGAACAGCTGGAGTTCAGGGAACCAGAACTCACATCTCCCCCTGGGTGCCCAGAGCCCAGCACCTCCTTCCTGCCTTCCAGCTGCAAGTGCCTGGTGTTCCCAACAACTTCTCAACAAGAGGCACCAAGATACCAAGGAGACATGAAGTCACCCTCTCTGGGGTCAAGCATCCAGCCATCAGATTGACTTGCAGAAGCCATGGATGTTTTAGTTACTGCTGAGCAGTGCTTATACAGATTCAAGGCCTCTTCTGCTCCTCAAACCACCAGTTTTGTCTGCCCCCCAACCCCCCGGAAGGGGGGTGGGGGGGGGGGGGCTGCACAAGGAGTTGGCAGGGACACAGCCGGGAGAGCTGACCCCAACCGACCCAAGGGATATTCCATACTGTACGGTGTTACAGTCAGCATGTAAAGCTGGGGAAAAAAGAAGGGGGACATTTGGAGTCGTGCCTTCCCAAGTCACTGTTACACGTGCTGGAGCCCTGCTGTCCTGGAGATGGCTGAACATGGGAAGTGGTGAGTCAATTCCTTGTTTTGCTTGCGTGCAGCTTTTGCTTTACCTATTAAACTGTCTTTATCTCAAACCACAAGTTTTCTCACTTTAATTCTTACGACTCTCCCCAGTCCCACTGCAGGGGGAGTGAGTAAGCAGCTGTGTGGGGCCGAGTTGCTGGCTGGGGTTAAGCCACAACACATAGGTATAAATTACCGGGAGTAAACTCACATAGGGATTACAGGAGCCCACTCCATCACTTGCCAGCAGAGCAGGGATTAATGCATTTACTGCTTTAGCAGGTTCTTAGAGAGGAGTAGACAATCAAGGTTGTGGACTCCCAAGATACGACTAAAATTCAACCATTTATTAGTTCAACTAAAGCAGTAATGAGCTGAGAATCACCAAGAGATGCTTCTGATGGAGATCAGCACTTGCATCATTATCAACTGCTGCTCACAGCAAACGCTGCAGAGAAAGAGACACATTTTAAGCTGTTCAGAGGAGCAAAAAGGCAGCAGCCAGTCAGGAAGCACCTTCTACAACGAGAAGCAGCTGGCCCAGCAATGCTGAAATGCTTTTGTATGTATTCACTTATAAGGATAAGATACTTCATCTCTGTAGCTGCTTGGCTCATCCCAGTGATAATTCACTTTCTGTGTGGTTCACAGCTCCAAGTGCTTAAGTGTGTCAGTATTTCCATCAGATGTCTGCTCCTTCTAGACATCAATACTTGTTTCTGGCTGAGTCTGGGAATGTTCTACTTTGTAATGCAGCAGCTCTCAAGAACTGGGGGGGGATATGCAGTTACTTATATCTTAGGCAAAAAAGGATGAGGAGATGGAGGGTGGTGGGTATTCTTGGGCTGCTTATAGCCCCTCAAAAATTCCAAGCCAACCTAGAGCCTGGCTGGTACCCTTGTTGGTGTCAGGGACTATTTCCCATGGGGGCTGCTACTGAGCAGCAAAGGCCCATCGTGCCCATGAGAGGCTCAGTGGGGTGGGGGAGCCCCAGGGCCCCATACCACATTGCAAGTGCTGTGTCCTGGTTCCAGGACATTCCATCCAGTTATTTCCCTTCACCTGTGTTTTTCTTCCTGGAACAGCTTCCCACGATTCCGCTTTTCCAAACATCAAAGTACTTGGGAGCCTCCCAAGGGTCTGCTCAGGTGGGAGCATCATCCTCCTCCTCCTCCTTCAGTGAAAATCCCGCAGCTGTGGCACATCCACCGTGCAACCAAAACCATCCCACTACAAAGGGCTCGAGGCACACAACCTTCAGTCGACTATCAGCAAGATATTCATCACCCTACCCTGAACCCTGGCAGTCCCAGAGAGGCTTTTCGGGATTGCTTCATAGCCCGGTGCTGGAATGGAATAAGAGGCTCGTTTCTAAGAGCATCATATTTTCCCCTTTTTAAGCTGGACAAGCTGCATTTGGCATGTTAACAAGCAGCAAGATAGCAGCATGTATTTCTCTCTTCAGGTTAATTTGAAAACGTTTCTTGTTCTATGCATTTTATTGCACCAAATCCAGTGTGACAGGATATATTATAGGATCATGAGGCAACAACCATGCCAGAGCTTTCTCCTGTTGTGTCTGGTATCCCGTTCCCAGGGGGATCATGGTCACAGCCACTGAGCTGGTGAATTGCTGCAGGGATACAGAAACCTCCAGCATCAGTGGGATGAACAAGGCCATGATGGCAAAGAACACATAGACTATCTCTAGGCTTAGACTAGCACCGTGCCCTCTATGCATGCATAACACTGGTTTAGTCTAAGTAAGTGTCTACCTGTATTAATAGGAGCCTATAGTATTATTCACCCCCTACAACAGCATTCTTCCCAACACCTGTGTGGCTATTTATGGGATGGAGCTGCTTCCCCACCTCACCTCAGGATTTGTGCACTGGGAAGAGCAACCCCCACTACCCAGAAGGTAAATAAAACACTTCTCTTGCTATTCATTGGGACCTGCCTTACTTTAAAAAGCAGCCAGGAGGGATGACAAGCAGCCCCAGTGCCACCTCCCTGCAAGCACCCTGCCATGCCCCTGTTCCCTCCAGCTCCCCAGAGCAGCAGACGGGCCCTGGGGGCATATTGGAAACCACCAAACCAGCCCCAGGCCCCGCACTGAGCAGCAGCCCTGTGAGAGGTGGGTACGATAAGATCGTGGGATTGCCTGTTTATCCAAGTACCTGCCTTCTCAGGGCAGATAAGATCAAGGGAGCGGCCCCCACAGCCGAGCAAGCTCACCTACAGTCACCACATACCCTCACTGCGCTGCAGGAGCTGATGGGGTAGTTTTGATGTATGGACTTTTGGTGGTGCTTTATGCAAAGCTTCCTCTCCTTTCTGCAGCATCCCTGCCT